GTCAGGTCCCCTGGAACCACACAGGGATGGCTATGAGTCACCATGGCTACTGGGGATGAAGCCTGGGTTCTCGGGAAGAACAGCACGTGCTCTTAACCACTGAGCCACCTCTTCAGCCCCACCCACCTTATTTATTTATTTGAGACAAGATCTCACTATATAGCCCTGGCTGGCCTGGAACTTGTTATGTAGACCAGGTGGCCTCAAACTCACAGAGATCTGCCTGTCTTTGCCCACCAAGTGCTAGGATTGAAGGTGTGAGCTGCCATGTCCAGTCCACTTTAGTTTTTGAGACAGGACATCCTGCTGCCTCTGGAGCACCTTGATTCAGCAAGGCTGGCCAGACAAGTAGCTCTAGAGGTCCGTCTGTCTCCACACCATCGCATACCAGTTACACATGCTTGCTGGTGCACCCAGCTCATTATACGAGTATTTTAAAGTATACGCACACAAACTAAGACATCTATGTCATTAGACAGGGTAGTCCTCCCACCCCTACCCCCAAGACAGGGTTTCTCTGTGTAGCCTTGGCTGTCTTGGAACTAGCTTTACAAACCAGGCTGACCTCGAACTCACAGAGATTCATTTATCTCTGCCTGCCAAGAGTTGGGATTAAAGGTGTGAGCCACTACTGCCTGGCTAGACAATGTGGTCTTCTGTGATCACCATGATACATGTGGTCTATCTTTGACAGAAATATCATGTGCAATGAGTACAGTATATATAACTCCTAAGTGCTAGCCGGGCAGTAGTGGCGCGCTCGGGAGGCAGACGTAGGCAGATCTCCGTGAGTTCAAAGCCAGCCTGGTCTACAGAGTGAGTTCAGGATAGCCAGAGCTACACAGAGAGACCTTATCTGAAGCTCCACCCCTCCCCTCCGAAAAAAAAAAAAATCCTAAGTGCTGTCCCAGACATCCAGCCCTGGTCTTTCTCCCAGCTGGAGTGCAGAAGCCTTAGTACTACCCTCCCTAGCTTCACACCTGTGTCTGGCAAGTACTGGAACTCCATGGGCTCACTGAGCTCCCGATCAGAAGGCCGCCGAAGCTGCATGGAGACGCGCACAGGAGCCTGCAGGCTGGGGTCAGCGTATGGAGGAGTCCGGAACACAATGGCCACTTGCCGGTGCACATCAGCTTGAGAAAAGGAGCCTCGTGCCTCCCAGCCTGGTCCGGTGAAATACACCTCAATGTCTTCTGCAGGAGACAGCAGCAGCATGGGTTAGTATGTCTGAACCCCAGCAGACCTCGGTCCCCAACTCCTGATGCTCTTTCCCTGAGACATCACCCTGCTTCCCCTGAAGCCACTGAGGTCCTTGGCATCATCACCCCTCCTCAGTCTCACCCCTCCCCTCTTGGTGCACAGAGCCCAGTGTGTACCTTTCTGCACCTTGTCACATAGCAGGAAGATCTCATCGCCACCAAGGCAGCTCCCAGAGTTTCGGTTTACTCTGCAGATCTTGAGCTCAGCAGTGTTGGGGGCGCCTGAGGGCGTGACAAGAAGAAAACCCTGAACCATCAGAGGTCTCCAGGGTACCCCATAGGAGATGTCACAGCCATGCCCAGCAATCCTCTGTCATCTCCCAGTTTGCTGACCACACTTCTGCAGACTGTTCCTAGCCGCTCTTCACCCCAACCAATTCAGAAACTGCCTCCTGCTGTGTGGAGTGCAGTTCCAGACAGAGGAACAGAGTGAGCAGAGCTGTGCTTTCCTTCCCAGACCTCACAGTCAAAGGAGACAATCTGATCAGGCACACCATCAGCTTTTGCTTCATCTCTACCTTGGCAAGGAGTCCTTCCCTCCTCACTCCAGTTTATACTGGTTTCCGGTCCTTGGGGGCTCTAAAGCCTTTTATTTTCAATTACTCTAATGCTTGTTAAGACTGCATTCCATCAATGTCAGCCCAGGTAATCTGAGAGCTTCCTGTGAACTGTTATTGTTGCATTATCTCAGTTCCTGGGAGTTTGCTTCCTAAACTCCTGCGCACAGTCCTGGCACACCAGCATCTCAACACCAGATACGGAAAACAGCCACTTCCCATCGGGCTCCAACTGAGGGAGCTCTGGGTCTTCTCTGCCCTATCCCCTGCCAGCACAACTGGAGGACTAAAGGAAGTCGAGCTCTTCTCACAGGCCACACCCACCCTAGCCTGCTTTCTCTTCCCAGGCCCTCCCTTCCCTTTACTGGAGCTGGCCACTCACGGTTATCAAAAATAGGATGAGAGAGGACAGGAGTCAGGCGGAGGGGCCTGCCTGCTGGGTCCCGCACTGTCACCTGGAAGCAGAGGCGCACGGCGTTCAGGTCATAGTCCCCACGCTGCTCCTCTACGGGAACTGTCAGAAAAACAGAGGTGGGGGACGTCACGGAGACTCTGCTGTACCGGTGAAGACGAGCCCTCTCTAGGCCTGACTCTTGATGGTGAAATGTATATGTACCAAACTGTCAGCAAGATTCCACTTATCCTGTCTGCCTGGCCATGGAGGGAGACAAGGGAGGCGCAGGGAAGGTGATGGAGTTGCTTTGCTCCTACCTTGAAAGGGGTTATTGTTGGTCTGGATGCGCTGGCTGATGGCTTGCTCCAGGTCCCGCTTCTTCACACACTGGATCCCCAGGTTCTGGAAGCTATGGTGTCTCAGGCATCAGTTTTCTGCCTGCGGCAAAGCCCCATTCTCCCTTCCCACTCCCAGGTCACAGATCTAGGCCTCACACCCTCTACCGGCTTACCACTGTGCTGCAGTGAAACCCACTTGTACCAAGTGGGTTTCTGTGGGACCTGGCCCTGGGAGCCAAGCCACTGTCCTACCTCAGTCACAGGGGGCATCTTTCTCCATTCCTAAGCACACTAAACTTATTTCTTCTTGTGCATGGAATGTTTTTTTGGACTTGTCTGGTTTTCTCACCATTTTAGCAGAGAGGCCTTTTGTAACCTTCCAACCCAAAGTCATGACATGGTGGTACATGCCTGTTATCCTTGGAGTTGAGAGGAAGAGGCAGGTTAAATCTAATGAGTTCAAGGCCAGCTTGGGCTATGAGACTCTGACCCCAAGTAACGAGGCCAGCCTCCTCCTCATCCTTCCAATTTATTACTGTTTTCTTTTCCTCAGAGAAATTATTATTCTCTAGTGGCACCCTGTCTATATGTACAATAATTTATCGCCTGGCTTTGCCAGCTGGTATTTAAGCTCCAGGAGAGTCCATTATGGGTATCTTTCTTATAAGGAGAGACACTCAGGGACTGGCCGGTCCAGCCACAAAGGTCTGTGGCTCCAAGGTGATAAGTTCGTCCTTATCCCATGGAGTTCCTGTCTGTTAAAGGATTTAAGAGAAAGGAGGTCCTGCTGGCAGAGCTGGGGACAGAGCAAGGACTCAGAATTCTGCCTGTGTCTAGAAAGGGGTAACATTGTAACAGCTGCCTGACCCCAAGCCTGCTCCCACCCTGCCTCCTATCCTGACTTCACCCCAGCCCTGACCTGTACAGGACTCACCTGTGGATGCAGCGGTCTGGGCAGAGCTCGGCCTCGTAGAAGCCATCCCGGCAGTCCTTCCCCACAAGTTCATGTGGATGAGGCCGATGAGGTGGGTCCTTGGTGACCAGGGAGATGCGAACTGTTCCTGGTCCTGTGTAGCCATTGATCTGTCCAAAGTACAGAGTACTCTAGGGGCCAGCAATGCCAAAACTGGCTCCTAGACACGGGGCACGGTGGCAAGGAGGCAAGTCTGCTGGGGCTTCACGGTGCCTTCCCCCACACCAGTCTTCAGCTCAGGGCCCTGGGGGCTGGTGCCTACCTTGATGGTGGGGTGCGTCTTGGTGGTATCTGTGCTCCTCTCACCAGGGATACTGCCTGCTGAGCGACCCTCGCACTTGTAGCGGAAGCGCATGCCCCGCTGCTTGGGCTGCTCGATGATCTCCACATAGGGCCCAGAAGCCTGGGTTGGCTCTGTGGGTGACACAACCAGCCATTGGGTGCTGCCCCCGTGACCCCTACTCCAGGGCAGTCCCTACCCACTGAGGAACGATGGTCCACTTACCCGAGGGGAAGATGAGGGGAAACAGATCTGAAAAGTTAAGACACATTGTCAGTAAACTCTGTTGCCCATCCTCACCAGGGACGGCATGACAGCCAAGCTCCCTCCCAAGGAAATCGAGCCAAGATCCCACAACCTGCCCTGAAAGAGGCAAGGCAAAGAAGGCAGCAGCATCTCTCCACTAGAGAAAAGGGGCATAGAGGCATTTCTCTACCAGGGGAAACTGAGTCAATGCCTATTTTCAAGGAACACTGAGGAAGGATATCACTCACCCCCTCTCTTCTACAGGGGAAACTGAGTCGGATACTCTCTCCCTTACAAGGAAAGGAAGCCAGAACCAATCGCACCGACACGGGTGGGGGGCGCCGAGGAAAATGAGTCAAGGGTCACCCGCACTCCCACCCAGGAAGGACACTGAGTCAAGGAGCCCTCCACAGAGAGGGGCAACTGAGTCAGACCCCTCGCAGCCCGCCCCGCCCCGTGCCACCATCCGGCCTGCGGCTCCCTGCGCAGCACCCCGCGGCGCAGAAAGGG